CCAATTGATATGCAAGCTGTTGTGTGCAACAACCAATCGATCACACCACTAAAGCCTGATGGCAGTCCTGGGATCTCCGCATAGCAACAATGTTCTTGCAAGATGTGAATATGACACATCAGTATGCCATCAATGCCCTACTGACCAGACTCAAGTCCTACTCAACACTTGTAGGATGAGCCGAGGTGACACACACAATGATGTCTAGGGCTCAGAGACCAGCGAACAGACACCTGCTTGTTTAGGCTGTGTGAAAGAGGACACGTGGGTCAGCATCTGATTCACTTGACTTGATTGACTTGATGTGAAGCATGCATTACAGTTTCAGAGTTTGGTTTGCTTGCAGTGGTATCTACACATTACTAAACTTATTTTTTTCATCTTAAACCCCTGTAATGGAGCAGCAGTTTCACAGAGCTGTTATTCAATCCCCTGCAGGGTAATTAGGACAATTTAGATGTGAAAATAAGTGGTGCAGCAAGGGATTACTGCACTGAGGGCTCAGTAGTCTGCTTACACCAATGATTTAGGGTCTGATCAATTCAATTAGACAGCATAACCTTGCTTATGAGACGAATAGGGGGGAAGGGATGTCTGGTATTGTTTGCTGTCTTCTAAATGACCAATTACATATTTCATGCCCAAAATACTCGCTTGTGTATGATTGTACTCTATATATCATTACAAAATATGTATATATATATATGACTGCATTATATATAAAATAATATACTGCTGCGTATCACAATGTATTGTCAAAACAATTTACTGTATTGACTAGAGACCAGTCTCGCAGGCTTTGTACCGCCTGGATAACATGATGCCTTCATCTTGGATTCATTCCTCCTATTCCTTAAGGAATTGATTTTCTGGATGGTGCTGCCGAGGGAGAATTCATCTGTGAATGGCTGTCAGCTGGGTGATCACCTTGTCAAGCTTACTGTCATCCTCTACAGTGCCAACACAACAGAGCTGCAGGTAGCAGTGGCAGTTCATCTAGCTGACACCCCCTCTAGGCCGTGAGCAGAGAGATAAGAGGCTTCAGACCAGGGAGGGACCCAACCTGGTAACTACAGGCTACAGCAACACCCGCATTGTACTCTGGCAGCATCCCTGAGGTTTGCTGGTCCCGCTGCTTTCAGAGTCCGCGGAGGACAGATCTCCGTACTCACAAACGCAGTGGTCTTCTCAGGACTTTCCCAAATCTCATGTATAAGACTAAGGAGGCGGGAAGAAATATGGGCACTCAACACTTGGGTAAAAGATGGGAGCAGAGAAGAGCAGTTTAGGTTTATGTGGCACTGAGACACACTGGAACTGCCCAGGCAGGACGGGCTGTCTTGAGTCAGAAAGGCACTGCGGTGTCGGGGAAACACACTGTACGAAGAGAGGAAGTGCAGCATGAGGAGCTCCGCAGAGGAACATTCTGGGCCAGAAACACCCTGGCAAAAGCTGAGAATAAAATCTTAACTCATTCATTCTAAAATGTTTATATAAATGATCTTCCTTGTGTTTTGTGCCATCTCCTGCAGGACTCGGAACTCCTCAGGTTTAATCAGCATGTAGATGCTTCTAATATCCTCCTCTAGGCAATGTGGGGAAGCAGTAAGAAGCAAACAGAGTGTTAAGCCATACATTGTGTGGAAATTAAATAATAATAAACTTTGCAGCTTAAAATAAAATGCAGCGAAACTGTGCTTAAACTTTACACTGCACAGTCATTTGAAATACTGTGTTTGTTTTGGCAACTGCAGCACAAAAAGGATTTTACAGCCTCACATAGACTTTAAATAACAATACGAATGAACTCTGGTCTCAGGGAATTATCATACATTGACAGGGCTAAAGGAACTACATTTCTTCAAAATGGAACAGCTATGTAGAGTCAGGCCAGAGGACTACTTCACACTTAAGTGCAGTGTAATGTATCTCCTTTTTTGTGGACTATACTGCTATCTTACCAAAACTCCAGGTTGGTGTAATGGATCTTTTTTTTTTGCAGACAGATTGAATCTTCAGAATGAGATAGTGGCTTTTTTCCTGCAGGATTCCGATGCTAAACCTGACAGGTGAAACCGCACTGGGAAATGTTCTGCTTTCCAATAAATTGTACAGCCTGCAAAAGGCTGAATCAGACAGTGCACAGTAGCCATGAGATAATTTCCCAGTTCGACAACCAAAACTATCAATCTAAACTGCAATTGTTTCATAAAAAACACTCAGTTATAGGAAATGATATCCAGGTTAGCAACCTGTGAGCAAATATAATGCTTTGCTCTGATTTTATACAGCTTATGAATTATGTTTACAAATAGTTGTTACTAAGATGTAAATCTTCCTTTAGCTTGTGCTGTGTTATCAAAAACATTTAAAGAGGAAACCTTTAAAGCTGCAGCCTGCAATATGTGGCCTTCTGTTAAAACAAATTGATACAATATCTTTTTCTAAGTACATTGTCCAACATTTCCACATTTGAGTTAGTTTACCTATTAATATTAAAATAATATAAAGCAATAGTAGAACGGATTAAATAGCTCTGTTTATTTCTAATGCCAAGCTAATGTTTACATAGAACCAAAGTTTTATGAATAACTTCTAACTTCATTAACTGCACTGTCACAAATCAGTTTGATAGATGACCTACTACAGGATCTACATAACTTAAATTAATATGAATGGATCTTGTGCTGCATAGTTCTTTAGGTATAATTGTAACTGCAATTGTAATTACTGAAGCTGCAATTCAATAAAACAGCAACCTTACTTGAGTCCAGTTTGATTCCCTTTGAAAGAAGGTTTTTGCTGACCTCTGCTGTCCAGACCATGGCCAAAAAGGAAATTGTTCAACTGAGACCTTCCCATCCAGTGTGTTCCTGTTCATTGTTATTGCAATACTGTTCCTGTTAATGGTCACTGTAAAGAATGACAACCAAATACACTCATCAGACTCTTACACAGTTCTCATATTTTGTTGCTTTAAAGTTTGCAGTCATGACATTTTGAAGTAGCACTTAATATTTGTTATATACAACCTACTCTAAACATCCAAAGAAAAAAGAGTGAATAGGTAATTAATATGAAAGAAGAGTAGACAAGTATGCTGCTTTTCTGCCTGGTCTGGACAGTGAGGGACTCGGCAGAAACCCAGAAAAAAACAAGTTTTTGTTTTGTTGGTTTTTTTAGTGATTGATTATTATCCTGCACTGTAAATAACATTACAATAATTTGTATCTTTTAATGATCCTATCATGACACACCCAACACTGGGGTGTCACAGTATTTTAAGCCCTTGCTGTGGCAAATCTAAATTAATTTAGGTTCCCTCTGTCTGTGTGCAGTGTTATTCATCAGAGCGCTGGGAAGACGATCATGTGGAAGGGGAATGAGCATCGCCAGTAAAGGTAAAACAATGCAAAACTGTTGCAAAAGGCTGCAGGTTTCAGAAATCTATGGTTCGATTGCATTGGATCGGTATTCATGCTAAAAATGGTCTTAAAGTGACACCTAGTGGAGCAAAATTGATAATAATGAGCAGATTTCAACTTGGATATTACCTATACAAACTTAGACAGCTAATACCAAAGCATACTCCCAGTAAAAAAATATATTTTCTGTACACAGAGTCAGCATTAACAAATCCTAATTATGATTAAGTGATTATGGACAATGGCTTTATTTTCTATTGAGGACAACATCCATAGACTGGAATGTGCTGCTCAGATTGCCACAGTAGAAATCCATGGGTGTTGTATTCTTTCAGAAGCCTTGCACTTCATTGTACTTTTCTCCGATTTCATGCACAGTGAGGAACAAAACCTTTTTTATTGTTGGAATTCTACCTTTCAATGAGAAATCTGGGTGGATGAAGAAATGTTTACAGTAACCACACACTAACAACAGCTACAGTTACGAAACACGTTTCACTGCGGCTTATGTCAGGTAAAGGGAGACACTGATTGAATGCATAATGCACTTATGATGATCACATAACACATAATCACCTGAAACTTAAACAAAAGCCACACAGCATTGCTGCACTGCAAAGGAACATACTGTAGGCTCTAAGGCTATGACACATGGGTACCTATCTGGATGACTGTATAGTGACTAAGGCTTTTGATCACCATTCAGATCAATGGAAATGGGGAAGTGATGGTACAGATGGCAACATGAACTAAACTCTTCAAGTGGAAGGTACAAGGTAGGTGGATACATATGGAAAATCGTGCTACTGTAGTGACTGTAGCAAATGGACTGTCTTGGAGATCAGCTCAGTATACAGTACCTGAGGTTTGGCATCATCACTCACATTTATAGCCCAGGCAGCAAAGGTGCACCAACATCAGCAGGCAGACTTCGAGATCTCTGGTCCTATTTCAATACTCATTATATATATACAAAGACAAGCTTGTGCCAGGACATAATTTATCGCTTACATTTTTCATTTACCTATTGTTTTAAAAACGGCATCAGAGTCTGGCCATCCTGAATGAGCCTCTCTGGCATTCAAAAGTCAATGCCATATTCTTTCCTAGTTTACTAGTATTGTAGCAGTGTATTGTCAATCCTGAAGAAAACTTTCCTGGATTTAAATTCAACACACTTTGTAATAAACCCTAAACCCCGATGGTGTTTTATTGCTTCCCCACATTGTCTTGGTACGGATATGGAGATCGATATTATGCTTTGAAGTGAACTGTTATCAAACATCTTCCAGCTGGAAACTTTCTGAAGCAAATAACCCATTCTACAGTTAAAAGAGAACAAATCCAACCTTTTGGGGTGTGGTCAGAAATTTCATGATTGTGACCAACTAAATTTCTATAACAAAGTAAAAAACAAGGTCACAAGTCAAACACAGCCAACTGGAGGAGGTAGGCAGGTGCTAAAGGGAGGAGTGATCTAAAATTCTGATACAGATGTGCATCCCGACAGGACTGACAATACTGTGTTTAAGAGAGCCATTTTCAACAAGTTTACACAAATGCAAAAAAAAAAAGTGATTTTATACAATAATTTATTGAACAAACATTTATCGATCAAGGCAATTGTCTTGGTTAGCAGGATCAATATATGAAATATATAGTCACAGAGCTATTACCAATGGCATGAAGCATATATCTCTGATAAAAAGAATAAGAATTTTGTAGGAAGTGCTGAAAGAAAATAGGCAATATACAGCATCATATAGTGTGATCTTTAGGTCGGACTGGCGGTTTGTAGTAACCAGAAGCTTGAGTGAAGAGCATTCCTGAAGTCCCCATTTTAATGTCCACGGACAGAATTATTGTACGAGGCAGTGTTCCAGCACCATGAAAAGGTCAGGAGATCAAGACATACTGCAGCTGGACTGTTTAGCCTGTTTCAAAAACAAAGATAATATTAGAATGCTGCATTCAAAAACAATGACTATTCAAATTATTTTCTTTGATATAAACTTTTTTTACCCTTGCCTAAAGGACCCCAGTTAGCATTAGGGCAATATTAAAGTAGTACATTTATGAGTCAAGACATTATACTGAGCTAAATCTTGCTGTGTCGTATTACGAATCAAATCACGGCTTTCACCTTGCAGACTCAACCCGTAGTAATTCAACTCAGCTCATCAGCCAGACTATATATACATCGAGTTCTGATACATAGGGAAAATTACTTTTTAGGCCAACTGAAGTTTTCATGATCTGGAAAACCTCTTAGGAGTGAAAGAAAAGACAAGATGAGCTATACTGTATGTATGTGAAATAAGAAATACGGTGTGCTAGGCTCAGCAAGACTTATTTATGCTAAATGAGAAATTCAAACTGTGCTCTGGGTTGCCACCGGTAACACAAGCTCAGCTCGCAGGAGTACAATGTCATGCAGCCCAATCTTTAAAGCAGTTCGGGCAGAGAAAGGATAAAAAAGGGAAAAATTCAACTGCACACTTTTTCCAACAAGCTACAGCAGTTACAAGCATTTACAAAATCAACTGGAAATCAATTTCACCACTTCAAGGTCCACTTAAAAATTGTTTAGTATATCATCCATCTTACTTTTGACAAATCTACGATTCTTTGAAATAGGCACTAAGTGTTAGAAGCAAAAAGTAGATACAAAGTATTAGAGGGTTTTACAAACTGAAAAAGCCTGTTTTTTATGGTCGTTTAATACAGGAATAACAAGATGAAGGACAGATCATCCTGTAAATGTCCACCCATCTCAAACAGGAAAACAAATTCAAGAGATTAAGCAAAATAAGATTTGAATTCTTAATTAAGTTACGCAGAAATGTCCAATATACATATACTTGAAAATGAAACATCTGCAGGTGGTTTACAAAATGTAGGCAATGTTCGTTTCCTCCCTGTATCAGTTAAGAGTCACTTGAAAGCCCTTGCAAAGACGCAACACATTGGAAGGTTGTGAATATGTACCTACTTCAGTTCCTGTTAGCATGTTACTGACTGGTAACTGTTCTGGATACCTGTTGTCTCTGCTGCTGTCTCTGGTACTCCTCTTCGCTGGCTGCCAGGGCCTGAGCCAAGGCCAGATCCTCCTGCTCCTGGGGGCTGAGAAGAGCGCAGCGCCGTCAGACTGATTCCCCAGCATTACACTCCACTGGCAGAAGGGCCTGACCCACCCACAGACGCTCACTCAAGACCGCCTGCCATCTTCTCGGCCGTCTCACCCAGGCAGTTACAAAACACAAAACCTTTATCTGTGACCCTTTTCTCTTTCCAAAACGTAGAAACTGGATAAATCTAGTCCAATCACTCGGGAATTCGAAATATACAGCAGCCTCCAGAGTAGACTCACATGCGCAATGATAAAGGAATACAAAAATTTCATAATTTTAATTGACTTGTTTTACTTAAAATTATACTAACATATGCTGTAATTGTAAGAGCATTGCATAAAGTGAAGAGTCTTGTTTTTCAGACTTCTAAGTACTATGTAATGTATATAGAGGCTCCTAAATGTTTCCCATTTCCCTGGGGTGTAAAAACTAAAGGTACAATACAGAAGACAACAAGTACGAACATGAATCACTGTGGTTAAGGTCAGGAAGCTCTCCAAAGACTGCAGGCAAAAAGTCATCGATCAAGTTGGAGGTTGGTTCTAAAAGAATCTACAAAAATAAATAATCTGCTTTTTCCCCCAATTACTGACAGATTACGTCTACTGGTAGAGTGGCAATCCTGCCAGACCGAGGATACTTCTAGATATGGTCTTGTCGCCATAGCCTGTGAGATGAGAGGTTTACAAGACCACTGTAATCTAATGGTAAGCAGATCGCCCATATAAACTGGCATCACAAGGAAACTACCCGTTTATGACTGGGTTGAAAGAAAGAACTCGAATTGGCCAAAACTCCTGGGATGATGTCTGAGCAAGGTCAGATGAAAAAATAACATTTGAAAAACGGAGGATCTGAGCGATCCTTAACAGGGGATTGATCCCTCCCTCAGAAGTGCCAGAACCTGCTACCACAATTCGAGAGGCATCTTGTCAGTGTAAGTCATGACAGAGGAGGATTTAAAAAATATTAACTACAGGGATGTGGACAAATGTGAGCATCGGATTTTCTAGAATTCAGCTGTTTATCATAAAATGAACATTGCTCTGTGCAATGTTATTATGATTACAGTATAACATTTTAATCAAGGCATTATACAAGATGTATAGAAGAGATAATGTTTTTTTATTTCTATTTCTAGACTTAGTTCATCAGGGATATAAAAATCTGGAGGGCACTGTAGAATCATCTACTGGGAAAAAAAACAGGATTTCAACATTGCCAGAAACGTAAATAAACATAATACTTCTGAGCAATTATTTGAATCCTTTTTTGTACTTTTGCAGATTTCTTGGGGGGCATGTAGATTTTAAATGTGGTCAGCTACATTACAGAGTGGCCGATATTTGGCTAGTTCATCCATCTCGGGATGAATGAGCCTTAATTATAATCTGTTACCTGAGTGACTGTTGTGTGCTGGTCGCCGACTCCGCCAAGGACATCTCTAGAGCTCTCTGCAGGGCCTGCTCCTCACTCTGGAACAGTTTAAGACAAAACCTTACTGTCAGTCCTAATACGCTCATTGTGGATTCAGTGTTGATTACTATCCAGCGAGTCCAGAAAATGACAGCTACCTCGAGCTTGCAAAGACTATCACTTCTTCTCGTGTCTGAGAATTACCGCAGCACATGAGGGTAGGAAACAAATTACCTCCCTCTCTCCGGTTCTTAGCTGTTGGCTGTCAGCACCAAGGAACTAACTCAAAAGCCACCTTCGCCTTTAGTGTGCACAGTGAATCCTCTCTTATACAGTAAGGAAATCATACAAACTTACGTAAGGGGATCTGCATATTGCAAGGCATTATACAGTATAAAATAAGACTTTTTAGGAGTTCCAATAGCTTAACATAACATCACTTTATAAGCCCTATACAATTTAGGAATTCATCTTTTCGCATACCCCAGCTTGCTCTCCAGGAGAGACAGACACACAGACAGGGAGAGAGAAGCTTGGGATCAGAGCGCAGGGTCAGCCGTTGTACAGCATCCCTGGAGCAGTTGGGGTGAAGCCCAACGGAGTAGGATTCCTCTGCTGGCTGTGGGATTTGAACCGGCAACCTTCCAGCCACAGGCGCAGATCCTTAGCCACAGAGCCACTGCTCCGCCCCAGCCACCGCTCAGGAAACATTTTTTCTACCGTTCACATACAAAATCTTAAACTTTCTAGCCCATGCCCTTGAGGCATCACATGAAGCTCCTGGAGAAATCAACACAGATTCATCTGCAGGTGCAGAGTAAATGACATCAGACAGACAGCAGCTCCGGGGACACTGTACTAACCCAAGCTGACATCTTCATAGTCAGAACACTGAACTTAGACGAAGCAATTATTGGAGAATGTAAATTAGTTTGCAAAAGTATTCACTACAAATAATACCACATTTTGTTGGGTTATGTGTGGCATTTCTATCCACTAATTATTACACAATCATAAATTATTGGTATAAACTTGAACCTGGTGCATGCAATTATTTTGGCATTATATACTGCACCAACCTCAGGTTTGACGCTGATCCTGTCATACTGTTACATTTTCATTTCCTAGAGACACAGTGATGGATTTTAAAGAGGTTTAAAGCTTAAGCAGGATTGCTTTGCTATCTAGGATCAGCATTGTACAAATAAAGTTGATGGATTGATATTACACACGTGTATAATATTTTTAAGGCAAATTTTCGTAAATGAAATTTTGCTCATCTAAATGACACTTTGGTGTGTTACAGTGATGTTGCACACTACTAGTATAACAAATACAATGTGAAGCCTTTAATTCATAAGACCTTGAGCACAATTCTAATATGCAAGGCCAAATACATTTAATATGAATGCCTGCCTACTCGATATTTTGGTGAGTATCAATTATTTATGTCATATTCAGCTTGTGCATAATGCGGTTACTACCCCTGAAGTGACTTTTCGCGGAGCAATGATGAATTATGCAATACTTGCTAAATTTAACATTGGGGTTCATAATCTAGTGTGGAAATTGTGTAAAATGTCTACCAGTGTGTACCACTGTAATGTGTGTTTATTACAGTGGCCATTTCTGAAGTGTCAAAGGCCGTCATTTAGCTAGGTCAGGGGTGTCTAACCTATTTGCTACGACAGGCCGGGACTGATTGAAATGTCTTTCGTGAGCCTTACAGACGAGAAATTCACTAAATACTATGCACAACCATCACACGGTACAGTCGACTCGCAACATTTCTGCGTATAGTCAAATTCTGCTTCCCTACTAACCCCCCTTATGGTGACACAAGAAAATAAATATAAGTACAAAAACGGTAAATGTAATTAAGACGACTGCGCGGGCTCACTAACGAGCTCTCATAGCGTACGTCATGAATGTGTCAGAGAATACAGCGCCGGTCTCGATATGTTTATATTCAGAAGGCGGTGGTGGCGCTCGTGGCGCCGGCTGGGCCCGGGCCGCGGGGCTCTTACCATTCCAGCCTGCAGGGACGCGGAGCGAGGAGGGGCTGCGGCTGGGGCTGCGGCTGCTCTGTGGAGAGGAGGAGAGAACACAAACACATGAACGGGGGCATCTCTGCCAGCAGCTCCTACCCAGAACCCTTCACCTGTCAGCTCTCTCAAAACTTTTTTCTCTATTTTTTTTCCCCCTCCCACCCTGGGCAGGGGGGCGTTTCCAGCGGCGAGGGTAAGTCTGTATGAAATGAAGGCCGAGACGTCCAGAGACTGCAAGGATGCGGGAGGGAGTCTGACCAGCAGGAGAACGTGGCACAACGGGACGGACGCAGAGTCATTCGCGTGCGAAAGGCAGCTGCAGTGGATTTTAGTGCTTTCCACCCGCCCACCCATTCCCAGCCACTGCTGCCAGTCCGGGGCCAGGGGGACACGCTGGACAGAACCCCAGGCCGTGGCAGGGGACACACACAGACAGACACACAGACAGACACACAGACAGACACACAGACAGACACACAGACAGACACTCTCACTGGGGTCGACTGATCAGCCAGCGTGTCTTCGGACTGCAGGAGGAAACCCACGCGAAACACGGGGAGAACATACAAACTGCACGCAGACAGCCCCCCGGGTCTGGGACTGAGCCAGAGCCCCGGCGTGTGCCAGGCCGACCCCTGCGCCACCGTGGGGCCCGAGAACGAACAGACCCTCTTTAACGCTTCGGGTTTCCATATGCGCCCTAGGGCATCACACTGCGGACCAGTCAACACAGCAGAGAACAACAAGGCAGCCTCGGCGTACAGCATGTGCAGGCAGCAGCACTGCACTCATCGTTTCCCAGCTGACGTGGTACAACAGACACCCCCCCGCCGACGGTGCTCTGGTCCTGTGAAAGCAGGGTCCTACCTGCTTGGCTGGGATCTTGCTCTTCCACTCAGCCCATTGGGAACAGACCTGGAGGAGGCTGCTTTACCAGCAGGGGGGGCTGCAGCACTGGCAGCCGCTGCCTGGGATCTCATTACAGCAGCGTGTCTGCAAAAATATCTCATTTCACTCCACACCTCTGGGTTTAAAGGAAGGGCCAAGGGGTGAAGGGATAGACAACCGTTCTTCATATTTAATTGAAAAAGACTTTTCAGATTTATTACACAATACTCACTCGTATTTCCTTCCTTATACACTATACAGGCTAATGCTCTATTCTACAAAATGTATATAAAATCTAAAGTAAAATGTACTATACTATTGAAAAATATAAAACTACTCCATACTATTTACCAAATATACACCTTACCCAGTTTTAGAGAGGGGATGGCCATCAGACGTACAGTCATGATCCAAAGGATGTCTGTGTTTCAGACAGAAGTTCAAGTGACACTGTTCACAAGTCACTTTGATCATTTCTTTCTGTTTGCAGCCACCCTTGGAGCACTTGTTTGTAAAAATCTGATGAAAGGAAAGACAGCCCGTGAGTACATAACCAATTGTTTTCGCTGCTTTAGTGTTCTGCTGGATAAATGGGTCTCCAGGTCGTCAATTTACATAAGACTTTTTTCTCAAAAGACTTGCCTAGTAAAGGCATAATTTCTATTGACATATAAAAAAATGAATACCTTTTGAATAATGTATCTGACAAACACTGGCTTTCTAAATAAACAAAGACAATAGAACATACAGCCTTATACCCAGCGATAAGTAAAGGAACGCTCTTCAATGTGAATCAAGCAGTGGTTTGAGGAACTCAATCATACCTTTCTCTTTCGATGAGCAGGGTCAGATTTACAGTCTCTGTCAATGTGCTCCCCAACTTTAATGTCGGGCATTTCTCCTCTTTTCACAGGAATGGGGGTGTTGCACAGAGGGCACACCGGGACCTGAACATCCTGGGGAGACATGAATGGTGTCGGGGTTCAGATGAGCATCTGGACTCTAGAAACACGCTAGACTGCACATTCCCAGACGGAGACCACCAGGACTTTCACAAAGCAGGGGTCGCTGTCAGCCTGTCCAGCTGCTTTCGTTTTTCCAGTAGATAAGGGACTTAAGGACATCATCAGCTGTTTACAGGAAGTAGTTATTCCTATCAGCTTCGATTTCACGGCTGGGTACCTTGGTTCGCATACCTTTTGTGTAAAAGGTGCCTTGTATTCTGACTTTTTAAAGCACTATCCTGTCATTTCCACTCGTTGTCTTCTAGTTTGTGATTTACAGGTTGATTTTTAAAAAAGCCCACAGGACTGAGTTTGTCAAAGCTCTGAATATTTCAGTCATGACCGCTCAGAGTGATGATCCCATTCTGTATAACATTACAAGCGAGGATTATAAGAGGTAACAAAGCATCTAATCCCCCAATATGGGCTACAGAAAAGCACAAATACAGCCATGACAAACAGTACGTACCTTTTTGTATGCCGAGGTACACTTGTGATTTACATAAGTAATGTGATCTTTACAGAAAATCTCTTGACAAGCATCACATTTCATGGGAAGAAAATCTGCGAAACACATCAAATATTTTAATTGCAAAACGCAAACGTCTATGAAGCAGTTCCTATGATAAAGGATCTTAAACTTTTACGACATGACAGCAAACAACACTGAGTCAGGAAGAAAAAGTAAAAACAGAGCCTAAAAGATGCTCTTCTCTGGACTTCGACCAAAGGAAGTTGAAGTTCTGCTTAAACTTGAAGCCTGATGCTCTATTGCCTGCTTTTTGTTGAGATTCTAACTTCACAACAGCTGATTACTTTGACTAAGTTTAACAGATAAAAAGCCCATGACATGAAGCCCTTCCCACACTGCCACTGTCTTGGTTTAACCAAGGTAGGTGTGTGGACCCCCAGCAGCAGAGTACGAGTTGTCTCACCCAGGCGTTTGCAGGACTTCTCTGAGCAATGCTCTCCCAGGTTTGGAAACTCCATTGTCAACAAAGATCTGTGCAACAACACCTAGAGACATTCAGAACAGTAATTAACAACTGAACAATGAGCCTAGGAAGATTCACACACATCTTTTTATGTTCTAAGAGGTCTCCTATTCCAATCTAGCTAAAGCATTATGAATATAGCTAGCTTCCTTATGACATATTTTTATCTTCGATACAAAACATTACAGATACAAAGTTAACACTTAGAAAACCTAGGGCTGCCTGCTGTACCTTTTACATCATGAACTGATAATCCGAGTAAACTCTTCGACAGCATATCCATTGTTGTGCCCTTCTACATGACCAGTATCAACATCACATTTGAACACACAGAAGGAGATGCCGAGGAGATGAGGAATAATATAGAGCACACTGATTGTCTGACTGTTGTCAGACAATGTCAGTAATGAGTCACAGCAGATACAGAACAATACAGATTACTAGAAGTGTAGAAAATGTCAGTGATCACCAAAGACCAGAGAAAAGATAGTTGGTGTAACTGCTAAACCATGATTTGACTGGAATATATCTGAGCTAGTGAGCAGACTAAATTACAGGTCTGACATTTCCAAAAGCATTCTTCGTATTTTGCTTTAGTTTTTCTCCCCCCAAAGCTTGCTGGACATTCACGAAACGTTTCTTATCCACTAAATCGACCCCTTTTAACAATGCTATCGCCGCATTCTGAACAATCACACGCAGAACGTTTAAACTGAGCCTTTACCTGGAAGCCGACTGTCTTTCCAAAAGCGCTCGTTAATACGCCTTACAACGTCCTTCATGTGTAGCGTGTCTAGATACTCCAGATCTCCCAGCTCCTGACGTCACCGGACATTGTTTACACAGACAGTGCTGAATCACGCCGCGGACAGGGGCATTGCCCAACGTAGTGTCATACACCCTCACCGAAACTGACACGCATTCAAGGGTCGTGATTTCTGACAGCTATCCACCTAATCCTCCTAACAAGCAGATTTGCAGCTGAAGACTAATCTAGTACAGCGGTGCATTTCGGCAGCCTGAGTGGACCGACCTGCCCTGTCCCAGGACTGTCTATCCAGCACCCCTCGCACCAGCCTTAAAAAAACTAGGGAACTTTTTTGTTAAATAAAGATCACAATCATGTTGTTGTTGTTGTTGTTGTTTTTTTTTTCCCGTAAAGCAATCTCACAGTTTAAAATGACAGCGTCGTGAATGGACAGAATATGTCCCTGGCGTGTTGCACGATGTTGAGTGGCGTGTGTCTGCTGCCCAGGACCGAAGCAGATCCGCAGCTGAGGGCGATCAGGGAGGTAAATCGTGCGAGGAGAGCGGGTAGCCGGTCCTTACACCCGCTCCCTCTGGCCCAGGCCTCGGCTCGGCCAGGGGCTCATGCGTTCTTCACTACAGCAGCACGTCTGCAACCTTTGATTTTTCCGAACGGGTTGAGTATGTGGGTAGCCCTTGCTTCGTAACCCCCGCCGTGACTCAGAACTTCTGCATTACTGCCGAGCTGACAACATTCAGGGGGAAAAAAAAAACACATGGATTTAAACCGAAACGCTTACCGGAACACCGCTGAGTCTGATATCTAGTTTGGACGTCTGCAGAATCGATAATTACCAGTTCCGAATCAGGCAATGGTGACCTAAAGACTCCTGCCACTGCGGAATTAAAATATAAAACCAGTGTACAGTACCTTCTCTTATATGTTGTTCCGTTTTTTTAATTCTCCTCCTCCTCGTCCTAAGGACGCACCCGGCCGATTCGTCGTGACGTCAGCACGTAAATTTTTCTAGAACCCACCTCGTGACTCAGTGACGCAGAGGGCTCAGTGACGTTGCATAAACTATGGTCATTCTGTCAGCCTTGTGTTACAAAGAAGCAGATGGGCTGTCCCCCTTCCCGGTCTGTGCCAGTTATTGATTGCCACTGCGAGGAAGCTGCTCAATTGATTAGAGACTGGGGAGCAGATTCTTCCTCGCTCTTAACAGTGCCAGTTCTCGTCCTCTTGTGCTCTGGTTTTACACATAATTGCGTAAAAACGGTCCTTGCAGTCCCAAAATATTGGAAAATTAGTTTATACTGTATGTCTGAATTTGAAATAATTGCATATCAGGGAAGATGTTTGACTAACTCCACGATATGTGGAAGCTATTTGAAAATGCCCCTTTACTGCCTTGGAGTCTGGTATAAGACTTATGTGAGGAACATTAATATGTTTCCATATCCTGAACTATCCGGGACCGTGTATAAGCATTCCTTGTTAATATTGTTATATACTGTAAATGTTTATTGGTGCGTAAATTAGATGTCACCAGGTTCTAATCTGTATGAAATTACAAGCACGACTGGAGAGTACTTTACAAGATATTCCTTAACATTAACAAAGGACTAAACCCAGTGAAACCCAAACAAACAAAAAGATATCGTGTCCTTGCATCAGAACCGCTCAAGTGGAGTCGGATAAGCAAAATGTGCTTGCTGCAGGGAAAAGGAACTCAAAGGAGAATGGGCCCACCTCCTGCGCTGAAGAGACCTCCTCTATCTCTCTCTGCCGCTTGTGAAGGTGATCTTGCGTTTTAATGCAGTTAGTACAACGGGAGCTATCTCACTATATCACGCACTATTTGTTTAGGTGGTCATTAATTATGATACAGTCATGGACGATCCTTGAGTTGCGGATCAGACCTGGCACAGAGAGACAGAAAAAAAAGTGAAAAGAATGAAAAATACAGCATGACACTTGCCAAATAGCATATTGTATGAGGCACTATGCCAATTCTCACTCAGCCATACCCATTACACCAAGGCTAAGCAAATATAATAGTATGCAATATAATTAGGCAGATAACAGATCATTTTTATGCAACACAAGATTTGTTTTATAGGCGTCTTCCTTCTTACCCACTCAAAATCATCAAGTAAAGTCAACAGCAGAAACCGCAATGGTAGAGTTGGTTAATGTCTGCTTTCCTGCTCCGTGTGTCTCACTACAGAAAGGAACAAGTAAGAGGTTTATTCCATGCTGAAAAAAAGAAGAAGAAAGAGAACACAACGTTTCAGCCGTGGAGCCTTCTTCAGGTGTGAGGGATAAACCTATTACTTGTTCCTGGGGGACACAGCTCCCCACCTGAACTACTACGTCACTACAGAGAGGACCATTAGGCAACTGTGGCCATAATAAGGTGTTGTTACGCCAGGAGGAGCCGGAGGTCGCAGACCTCAGTCTCCACGGCAACCGGCCTCCTGCGCAGGCAGAGTCGCACACGGTGGCCACGCAGGTGCAGGGAATTACCTGTCTCTTCAGCTCCGGGTAGCTCAAACGCCCTCCCTCCGCCCACAGCCAGGCGCTCTGACACTGAGCTTCCTGCCGGATTAGGGACGTGCTCTTGCCACTCACCAGTAGGACAAGCAGAACAAGAAGTCTTCTCCTGATGCAGTGTGTCGGCATGGCTCCCTTGTCACTGCACCTTCACAGCAGCTAAGCCACCTGTGGGACTGTGCAGCTTCCAGGTCCTCCAGACAGCTCCCTGTCCTCTTCCGCACTCTGCACAACTTGTGACTAGACAGCCTCTGACCAACAGGCTAAGAGAACTGATCCTAGTCAGTCTTGAACAGAGAAGACTGCTGGGAGACATGGTACCAGTATTTAAAATCCACAGAGGTCTTGACAGCCAGCTGAAAACAAACCTGGCACAGGCAGAAACAATGGGGGAAGTTGGTTTAAAATTAAGAACATGTTGTGGCATTATCTGGTGAAAGAGGGATCAATGACTATACATATACAGTAAACCCTTGGTTCAGAAGACTTTCCTTTAACAGACTTTGGATTTGGCCAGTTTGCAATGATGGATTAACAATGGTTCCTTATAGTGGTAGGTCAATTGTTGATGACGGATCTGTGTTTTGTACACTTTAATGAAATGTATATATTTATGACACATAAAATAAAGCGGGTGTATCTTTAATAAAAAAAAGGCATAGGGACAATTTTTAATTGGCTGTGTTGATTGCAATTGTTAAAAAAATAAGTCAAAAGATCCAGTAGGTATACAGTATGTATAGCGCTGTATGTATATTTTTCTCATATTGTCATTTTTGTTCAGGCTGAAAGAATGTCATTTATAATTTAACTATGAAACCCAGCAGTAATGGACACTCTTCGCCTCTGTTAGTCTGCTAAAACAAAGTTTTACTGGGACTTCGTTTTTGCACAGTCTTCCACAGGCAGCAGTACACATTGATCCATCCATGCGTTTTCCAACAAATCCAATTCTTGTATAAAAACAATTAACCGTGAAATATTTTTTCAACTGTATTCTGAAATAGAGTTCATTTAAAACTTTATTTAAATTCATTTATTTCTAAAAACTGATATTTTGGAAGTCAGCTTTTCTCCGAAGCAGGGGAGCCTATCTAGGCTAGCGATGGGCGCAAGGCAGGACCCGGGAGCCAGGACAGACGCACACACGCACACTCACGCGCAGACAGCACCCCAGTGCCAGCCACCGGGCCGCAGAACCGCCCTGCACTGGTCTTGTACATCAAATAATCCCCGCCCAGACGTGCTGTTCCCTTCTAAGAGCTGGTGTATGTAATGATTCAGTTGGCATACGGTGATTTCTGCTTTATTTTAATTGCAAACACTATACGTGCACAGAGCTAGAAGTCACATTAGTTACTATTCAGTCTACCTTTGCTACTTGCCTAATGAACAGAAAAGTGGGGTTTTCAACATCTCTAACTAAAGTCTAACCCAATATTCCTACAATTTTACATGCCGTCTACTTTCCATTCAATGAAAAATACCTAACAGGCAACAACTTTATTCATCTTTCAAAGAACTGTGTCCTATCATTTAAGATGTATGCAAGTACAACACTGAAAATAATTAGTTTTTTTTAAATCTCTTTTTCTGTGTGTGCTTAAATTACAGGTTAATTTAAGTCCTTTGGTATTTTAAATAGAGCGCACATCCATCTTATCTTTTAATTCTATATATAAAAATTCCCCATAATTTCTCTTTTTCTGAAAAAAAAAACAGAAGTAAGGTAATCTTTCTGTCAAGTACTGTAAGCTCTGTTCTCTTATGCAAGGCGTTTGTACGTACTTTTTGCTCGAATGCTTTCTGCTGCTGAAAGCAATTACAATTATCTGCACTTTTCTTATTAGGCATGAGTAATGGAATAATACACCACTCCCTGGGTTCTAAATGGAATGAAAAAGATAAAAAGACCCTCTGCCTTTTAATTTATTTGCATTTTTCAGTAATATGCAGAATACAAAATAATGTTGCATAATAAAAACTTTATTAAAATATGCCATACACACAAAAACACAACCTATTGTAGTCTAAGTAAATCCTGTTCTTGGAAAGACCAAAATTGTCCTGTTGGGTTGAGGTCTGGTGATCATGACAACCACCCATGCTTGGCTCCCTTACCCTCAGTGAACCTACATACCTGTAGCTTCAGGCCATACTGTATACTACATACAGCACTGCATAACTTCTCCCTGCACATGTTCCTTGGATGCCACCGGTCCAACAGAGCATCCACAGACCAGCCCAAGACAGTTAAATTACTTAACTGTAGCTTTTGTTCCTCTAGCATTTCCAATCTCAACCAGAGCTGAAGAGAGAGAGAGAATCCACAAGAGACACACCACGAGTGAAGAGCCCGGTGATGTGAGGGACCAGAGGCGTGATCTCAGAGGAGATCAGAGAGGACAGAGGCATCAGCGAACTGTAGACTCTGAGCCTGAGATGTCCATAGTGGCAGTCACTACCCCCATGGCCTCACACACCTCTTTGCAATCAGCCAGCTTTCCTTGACTGAGTTCTTCCTCCCTGCTGCTTTCACCAGCTCCCAGAGTCTGTGCCTGAGCCTCTCCCAGTACTTGGGAGTCTTCTACTGGACACCATTTGGCTCGGGTGCTGATTCTGCTCTAGACCTCCTTAAGAAATGGTTCATCTCCCGCCAGGTAGGTCCTGACTCTTCAAAAGCACTGGTGGGTCTGTCTGGTTTAACGAGTAAAGCCATCGTCTCCAGCTCCTCCTGGTGTCTGGGGTCGCTGTGGGTTCTTACAAATCTTCTTCCACCTCCTCTTTTGTAAACTCCAGCTTTCCTGATCTTTTATCTAGTTGTAATGCTTAGGGGATGGTTTAAAGATTAGAAAGGGGTTGCACTGAGGTTGAGAAATTTTCATTTTTTGAATGTAATATATACTTCAGTCCAGTAAACTGGTGTTGAACATCATCCTAACAAGTAAATTAGCTACTGCGGTTAACCGGTTGAAAAAAATAAGTTGCAGTAATACAGTGTGGACTACTTTGACACGAAACTAGCGAAACATGAAAGGATGTCAAGGTGAAGTGTATTTAGAACTTCTTTACACAAAGAGTTGTGGGAGAGTGGCACAAGCAATCCAGCCATTTTGTTGAAACCAACAGCCTCTTTACTTTTAAGCAATGGCTACATGAGACTATCCAATCAAACTGATATCAGTAACCAAAAGGGCTACATGGATCAAATACTGTCCTCTCATTTGAACTTTCTCATGTTCTTGTAACTTATTACATGAACACATCAGCTGCATGACTAATTAGAAGTAGAAAGGTGGTAAATTGAGTGCATGATAAACGTTCACACATGGAAAATCTGACTTCTTGGTGCAGAGTTAAGATAGATCAGGTTATAGAACAGTAAGTGTCCTGCAGAGAACTTTAGAGCCCACAGCTCGCCTGCATATTGCTACATTATTTCATTCACATCATGCGGCTTTCAGATACTAATAAGGAATAAACGCACTGTGATTACTCAGTAGGCTGTGGGGGAAAAAAAGATTTTGGAACTTGTAACTCATGGGGGCTTCTGTAAACATGCTCGATATCTTTAACAAGTTTCCAGGTGGAGCCAAGAAAAAAAGCCACCTGCACCGTCAGACTGTGGCCACGCCCACTCGCATGACATCTCTCGCAGGCCACGCCCCGCGCACCTGTGCGCCAGGTTCTGCTGGAGAGAGCGGAGCTGAGTGAGTTTGTTCCGCGTCTTTTACCATTATTTTTTATTTTTCCTTTATTTGAATGTATATTACATTTAACTCATGTAATTATGTTGTCTTAACGTCGCAGATGAAAAGGCTAAAATAGTATTTTCTTTGGGAGCTAAATAGCATTTTACCGGCAATTTTTATTTTTGTTAGTCTGCAGCGCTTCACTTATTTTTTAAAAGCCCCTTGTGTACACAGACAACGTGTGTATTCTTTTTACATCGAAGAAAAACACCGTTTTAGCAGAAATAAAACGTCGATTATCCATATTGTAATCGTTTTCAAAAACTTGGTGAACTTTGTTCACAAAACCAAGCGTGCGCATTTATCCGAACAAATAGTAGCCAACCTAGAATTTAAAGTTTTTTTTCCCCATTGTTTTCCACAGTATGTCTAGAGATTGTTCTTATATTTTTGGTATAAAATTTCCTTTGCAACTAATGCTTTTTAGTTTCAGTGGTCTTTTAACCGTGTTGTTTTTGTGTTTTCAGTTCAGTAGTGTCTTTGGGCTGGACATGACTCGCACTTAATGGAAGAATAAACGTAAGTACAAGCATTTTATTCATTTCTTTACACCTGTCTTATTGAGATATATTCTATGCTCTCTGCCCTGGTGAAAACGTCGTTTACTACTAAGAAAACGTAGTTTAAATTCTCTTTAAATAATCTAAATACTTGTGTTCTTGTGTTTCCAGTTTGGTGTCTTCGGGCAGGACGGACTTGGCTCAGCTGCTGAAATTATCTATGTAAGTATGAAGCTTTTTATTCGTTTATACATATCGTATTGAAGTACACTACAGTTGTCAGAAGAGGACTCAAACTAGGCGGTACTAGATTTCTCCAGGGCAGAAATGGTTTTGACCCGACAACACTGTAGGCCTGCTATTTTTAGCATAATTTTCTGCTAAAACTGCGATCAATGTCGCTTTTTTAAATGCGCATAATACAAATTCGTTAGAAGCCGTTTTAGCTTCCAAAATGCATCACAATAAGGATTAATTGTTCGTGCATTTACGAGCTTGTTTTAGTAAAAAGAATGTGCTTTTCTCTAATCGACACGCTGTAGCTGTATTGTGTTTAAATGTAACTGCTTCTATACCTTGTTGAACAGAACACTCTGTTGCACCAGGCTAATCGCTTTATTGCTACTGTATCTTTTGAACGTGTGAATCAGTTCAGAAACTCGATCAAAGTAGCTAGGATAATCTCGAGATCATGTTTGTAACCGAAAGTTAATACTGATTTCTGTTATTTTACAGGAAATGCAACGAAGTTCCAGTCTTCATTCCGGTCTCTGCCTCGACTGATAACTCGGAGAAACAGTAACGTGCTGTGTGTTTCTGTATCTTTGCTTGTAGTTGTTTGCAAATGTTTTCTTACTCTGTTGACTTGTAACACTATTTAGCGTTAATGTAGCCGTGCTTTGACACTTTGTATTTGAAATGCATGTTCATTTTCACTTTGAAGCCTGTGCATCCGACGTATTGTAATGCTTTGTTTTGTATGCCATTTTCGCTCAATAAATTGTTGATTG